CTCTAGAACTAGTGACCAGAGAGGTCACCACTCCTGGTACCCCAGGTGAAACAGTTGGAACAGCTGAGCTGGCTTCTGCCTCATGACTGGTGGCCGTTGAAGGTGTGGTCTCTGGTTCACCAGGAGAAAGAGTCAGAGTTGGGATGGTTGTACTGGTCACTGCCATAGAACTAGTGACCGGAGAGGTCACCGCTTCTGGTACCTCAGGTGAAACAGTTGGAGTTGGAACAGCAGAGCTGGCTTCTGCCCCTTCTGTCCTTTGACTGGTGGCCATTGAAGGCGTGGTCTCTGGTTCACCAGGAGAAAGAGTCAGAATTGGAATAGTTGTACCTGTCACTGCCCTAGAACTAGTGACCAAAGGGGTCACCACTTCTGGTACCCCAGGTGAAACAGTTGGAATTGGAACAGCAGAGCTGGCTTCTGCCTTTTGACTGGTGGCCATTAAAGGTGTGGTCTCTGGTTCACCAGGAGAAAGAGTCAGAGTTGGAATAGTTGTACTGGTCACTGCCCTAGAACTAGTGACCAAAGGAGTCACCACTCCTGGTACCCCAGGTGAAACAGTTGGAACAGCTGAGCTGGCTTCTGCCTCATGACTGGTAGCCGTTGAAGGTGTGGTCTCTGGTTCACCAGGAGAAAGAGTCAGAGTTGGAATAGTTGAACTGGTCACTGCTCTAGAACTAGTGACCAGAGAGGTCACCACTCCTGGTACCCCAGGTGAAACAGTTGGAACAGCTGAGCTGGCTTCTGCCTCATGACTGGTGGCCATTGAAGGCGTGGTCTCTGGTTCACCAGAAAAAAGAGTCAGAGTTGGAATAGTTGTACTGGTCACTGCCCTAGAACTAGTGACCAGAGAGGTCACCCCTCCTGGTACCCCAGGTGAAACAGTTGGAGTTGGAACAGCAGAGCTGGCTTCTGCCCCTTCTGCCCTATAACTGGTGGCCGTTGAAGGTGTGGTCTCTGGTTCACCAGGAGAAAGAGTCAGAATTGGAATAGTTGTACTGGTCACTGACTTAGAACTAGTGACTAGAGAGGTCACCACTCCTGGTACCCCAGGTGAAACAGTTGGAACAGCTGAGCTGGCTTCTGCCTCATGACTGGTGGCCATTGAAGGTGTGGTCTCTGGTTCACCAGCAGAAAGAGTCAGAATTGGAGTAGTTGTACCTGTCACTGTCATAGAACTAGTGACCACAGGGGTCACCACTCCTGGTACTCCAGGTGAAACAGTTGGAGTTGGGACAGCTGAACTGGATTGTGCCCCATGACTGGTGGCTATTGAAGGGATGGTGTCTGATTTACTATGGAAAAAAATGGAAGTTGTCCAGGGAACTGTTGGGCTGGTCTGTGCAGGATGCGTGACCAATGAATCTGTGGTAGCTGGTTCACCAGGGGAGCTTGTCAGAGCTGGATTAGTTGTACTTGTCTCTGCCGCCAAACTGGTGACCATTGAGGTCACCATCCGTGATACACCAGGCGAGATAGTTGAAGTTGGAATGGCTGAACTTGTCTGTGCTTCAGGATGGGTGACTAATGAGCCTGTGGTCTTTGGTTCACCAGAAGAAAGAGTCAAAGTTGGAATAGTCATATTTCGGTCTGTTCCAGAACTAGTGACCTGTGAGGTCACCAGATCTGCTGCACCAGGTGAGACAGTCATAGTTGGAATAGCTGAACTGGTTTCTGCCCCAGGACTGGTGGCCACTGAAGGTGTGGCATCTGATTCACGATGGGAAAAATTGGGGATTGTTCTGGGAGTGGTTGAGCTGGTCTCTGCAGGATGAGTGAGCCATGTGGTTCTTGTCTGTGTTTCATGTGGGGACTTAGTCAGTGTTGGGAACGTTGTACTAGCATCTGTCCCAGAAATAGTGACCAGTGGGGTCAGTGCATCTGGTTCACTGGGTGAGATATTTGTTGGAATGGCTGAGCTGACTTCTGCCCCATGACTGGTGGCTGTGGAAGATACAGTGTGTGATTCACTGTGGGAAAAACTGGGGGTTGTCTTGGAAACAGTTGGGATGGTCTCTGCAGGATGGATAACCCATGAAGCTGTTGTATCTGGCTCACTAGAAGAAACATCTAGAGTTTGAATAGCTGGACTTGTTTCTGCCTCAGAACTAGGGACCAGTGAGGCTGTGGTCTTTGATTCTCTATTGAAAACAGATGGGGTTGTCCTGGGAAGAGCTGTGCTGGTTTCTGCTCCCAGGCTGGTAGCCAATGAGGATGTCATTTCTGGAACATCAGGGGAAACATATGGGGTTGTGATCGTCATTTCTGTGGTGCTTGTGCTGGCCATTTGCACTGATGCATTGAGGGGAGTCAGTGTTCCCAAAGTGGAAGTATAGACACTGGTGATCAAGATGGCTCTGGAAGTGGTCTTCGGAGCTGTGGTGGTGGTCTCCATTCTTTTTGTCCCTCCCGTGTGTAGTCCTGTGAATTGGGGAATGGGCACACAATTTGAACAAAATGATTTCACTTACTGGACTAGCAATAGCTTATTTATTCTCCATATGAGGAAAGGGAGAGAAATGTTTCTCAGTTACTAGGACGTGCCTGGGATGCTCCTGGAATGGGAAAAGAGACTGTAATTGGTATTCCCCTATCTTACCTTCATCGGTAACTTGGTTGTATCTTCTATAACTCCTCTGTGAATTCTTTACCGCAGTAATCTATTCCCTCTTCCCATGTGTTTTCTGCACTGTCAGCCTCTGAGCCTTGCTCAAGCTCTTCTCTCTGCCTGAAGTGCCCACTTCTCATCAGATTCCTTAAGTTCTGCCATTCTTGTGTGCCAAGCCCACATCCACCTTTACAAATTCATGCCAGAACTCATCTTTGTTTCTCAATATTTCCTTATCACACTGTCTGAATCTGCATTGTGCCATCCTTCCCAGTCTCATTTGTAACAACTATTCACGTCTGACTGTTTGGCATATGGTAAGGGCTCAACTAATATTTGTTGAACGGTTGAATGAATGAATATGTGGATGGATGTATACTTAAGTGGATCTCCTCTGACTTGAGAGAGATTAAGTATTGTGCATTGTGTGTTTGAGAGCTTGGGTTCTGGAATAAGATAGCCCTGCCTGGGATTCTGGCTCTTTCTCTAAAGAGATGGATGGCTCTTTAAGTTAAAAAATATTGCTCGACCTCCACTTTTCCATCTATAAAGTGGGGATAAGTACAATGGCCATCTCAAAATGTTGGTACAAAGGCACCAAGCACAGTGCCTCCTGGGTCACAATAAGACATTACTACTATTACCATGACTATGACCTGCTATTGCTACTGTTATTACTATCACTTCTCCACCTACCATTACTGCTGTTATTGCTACTGCTACTACTACCTATTGCTATGGTTATTACTATGATTACTACTACTTACTACTACTGCTGCTGCTACTATTGTTACTACTAGTATTATTTACTATTGCTACTGTTACTATTACCACTGCTACTACTACTACTGTTACTACTACCACCACTCTACCTACCATTACTGCTATTACTACTGTTACCACAACTATTACTACCTATCACTATGGTTATTACTATGGTTACTGCTACTTACTATTACTACTGCTGCTGCTATTACTATTGTTACTACTGCTATCACTTAATATTACTACTCTACCTACAGTAGAGTAACAGCAGTAATGGTAGTGCTCTACCTGCCATTACTGCTGTTATTACTATTGTTACTTCTACTACTACTACGTATTGCTATGGTTATTACTATGGTAATTACTATGGTTACTACTGTTACTACTATTGTTGCTACCACTATTACTTATGATTTCTACTGTCATGATTACCACTGCTACTACCTACTACTACTACTGTTACTACTCAACTCTACCTACCATTACTGCTATTATCACTACTATTAGTACTAGTATTACTGCTTATTGCTATGGTTATTACTACAGTTACTACTACTTACTAGTGTTATTGCTGCTATTGTTACTATCACTACTACTTACCATTACTACTGTCACTACTAATAATTCTACTACAAAATAAACATTTGCTAAATAGAATTCTCCACCAACCACACTAGACACTACCAGAGCTGGCCAAGGTGACTGGGATACCTTTGAAGAAGATTCCAGTAGCATTGATGAGACAGCAGCTGCTGACCAGGCTTTAGAAAATGGTTCCTATGGAAGAGGAAGAACTCCCTGGAGACTTCTCTATAAAGCCCACAAAGCCTACTGGAGTTTGGTAGAGAAAGGGGCTAAAATGAAGGGGATTTTGACTCTGATTGTGGAGCAAGGTCCCTGTGTTGCTGGATATACTCTAAAAACAATACGTCTGAGAATGCACACTCTAAAGTGCTTCATGTGTATTTAACAATGATGGTGATAATGATGGTGATTATGTTGATGGGAAGGAGGAGGAGGAGCAATTGCAAAGCACTTGACATGCACTGTCTCTTTGATCCTCAAAAGAACATTAAATGACACATTTTGGCTGGGCACGGTGGCTCACGCCTGCAATCCCAGCACTTTGGGAGGATGAGGTGGGCAGATCACCTGAGGTCAGGAGTTCTAGACCAGCCTGGTCAACACGGTGAAACCCCATCTCTACTAAAAATACAAAAATTAGCTGGGTGCAGTGGCATGCATCTGTAATCCCAGCTACTTGGGAGGCTGAGGCAGGAGAATGGCTCGAACTCGGGAGATGGAGGTTCCTGGGAGCCGAGATTGCACCTCTGCACTCTAGCTTGGGTGACAGAGCAAGACTCCACCTCAAAAAATAAAATAAAATAAAATAAAATAAAATGCACATTCTATAATTCTTGTCATTTTACAGGAGAGAAAGAGAAATCCAGAGACCACAATTTACCAAGGTCACACACAGCTATTGACAGGGTGACAACTGGAACATCATTGTATCTAAATGCTAAACCCATATTATTAACCACTGCATTATATTAATTCCCTAAAGCAACTTCTGGATCTTGTGGGGACCAGAATGGAAAGAGAATGAAGTGAGGTGAAAACGCCCACCTAGTAAGATGGATCTTAGGACACATTCTCCAGTTCAGTGGTTCTCAACCAGGGGCAGTTTTGCTTCCAGGGGACACTTAACAATGTCTGGAGATATTTTTGGTTGTCACAACTGTGTGTGGACGAATGGTATGGCATCGAGAACAGAGGCCAGAGACGCTGGCAAACATCCTACAATGCACAGCACAGCTCCCCAACGCAAAGAAGTATCTGCCCCAAATGACAACAGTGTCAAGGTTGAGAAACCCAGATTTTAATTTATTTATGTATTTCATATTACTGCCTTTTAAAGTGAAAATTTTATTTCAGACTTTATTCAAAACAGAAGAAGGAGGAATTACTAAATATCGTGACAAAGAAAACATGTAACAGTGATGTCATAAACCAAATTACATTTATATCATGTTTTTATTCCCCCATTGTAGTTACATATTGTAATTTAGCTCTCCAGTGATGACAAACATAAATAACCCAGGAGCTCACCCATCTTCTTTATTTAAGTGAAAGTTAAAAAAAAAAGTACAGTTCCAAATTTTTCATCATGGGAGATATAATCCTAGATATTTTTTTAAAGTTTCTCTTACAAGAGAGTTGTGTCTGTTTTTCAACCAGGGCATACATAAAGGCTGTTAATTTATACTTCTTTTTCCTGCATTTGCTAGAACTATTGGGATGTATTTTCAGATATTTTACATATATATGTAATATATATATAATTATACATATATATGTATTATTTATTTATTTATTTATTTATTTATTTATTTATTTATTTATTTTTTAGACAGAGTCATGCTCTGTCACCCAGGCTGGAGTGCAGTGGCACGATCTCAGCTCACTGCAGCCTCCACCTCCTGGGTTCAAGCGATTCTCTTGCCTCAGCCTCCCAAGTAGCTGTGATTACAGGTATGTGCCACCATGCCTGGCTAATTTTTATATTTTCAGTAGAGATAGAGTTTCACCATGTTGGTCAGACTGGTCTCGAATTTTTGACCTCAGGTGATCCACCTGCCTCAGCCTCCCAAAGTGTTGGGATTAAGGTGTGAGCCACTGTGCCTGGCTCATAGTAAGTTTTTAATGAGCATTTAAAAAATTTAGTTAATAAGGACAAATTTGTGAAAATTTGATGTTGGACAAAGCTACTCAACATGCCATGAGAAGAAAGAGAATGGTAACATCTACCTGGTAACCATTAGACAAAGACCCAGTTCAGACAGGGAAACCTATGACAACCACACACAATTCTCTCACGGGGAGGGGGAAGGGGAGGGATTGCATTGGGAGTTATACCTGATGTAAATGACAAGTTGATGGGTGCTGACGAGTTGATGGGTGCAGCACACCAACATGGCACAAGTGTACATATGTAACAAACCTGCACGATATGCACGTGTACCCTAGAAATTAAAGTATAATTAAAAAAAAAAAAAGAATACAAGCATTTTGTCTCTCTAGAGGAGGAAATATGGTCACAAGTGGCATTATTGGGAGGTAAGCAAAGTTAAACTTACCTTTAGGACTGGCAGGCAATGTGGATGTCTGAGGACCTTTGACTGGTCTTATGGTACCTCTGTGTGCTGCTTCACTGGGTATTTTTGTGATGTGCTCCATAATGCCATCAGTTCCTGAAGATGAAAGTGGGGAGGAAAACTGGGGTAACTCATCTCATTCAGAAGAAGAGCACTGTCTAAATGAATCCACTTCATTGGCCACAAAAACTCCTCAAGTCCATTAGTATGAACTGGAGCTGGGACTGTGTGCCGTAAGTGGCCACACCAGTCCATAGATCCATTCACCTACCCATAGATTTGTCCATCCTTCCCTTCATTCATCCCTAGATCTGATCATCTATTCTTCCATTTTTTCATCCTTTTATTCCTTCCTCCTACCACCCATTCTTCCTTTCGTCTTTCCTCCCTTCTTTCCTTTCTCTTGCTTTTTAAATTTTTAATTAAAAAGTTTGTATTTCAATAGCTTTGAGGGTACAAGTAGTTTTTGCTTCTATGGATGAATCACATAGTGGTGAAGTGTGAGATTTTAGTGCACCCTCCTTTCTTCTTTCCATCCATCTTTTCTTCAATCTTTACTTCATTTCATCCTTCCACCCTTCTTGCCTTCAATCTGTATCCCCTTCAATCCTATCTTCCATCATCTTTCTTTCTTTTCATCCTTCCTTCTGTGCATCTATCCTTCCTCCTCTTCATCTTTTCTTCCTTTCATTCATCCATCTCTCCATTCTTCCTTTTATCCATCCAACTACACTTCTACCTTCTCACCATGCCATTCATCCCTTCCTTACTGAACACCCATGACTCAACTACTGAGTCACATAGTAACATGTGGGTCAACAGCCACCAATGTGTCTAAATTTAGTGTGAATTACAAAACTAATATGAAGAAGGAGAAGGAACAAATCATTCTCCTGGAGATATTGCTCAGTGAGGCAGAAACTCGAGTCGTTGGAGGGCCTCTTTGGATTTGTGTCCAGAACAAAAGTTAGTGCCAAGCTCAACCCTTTCAGAGGAATGGAATCCCCAAGAGGTTCCTTCCTTTATCTACTGACCTCTTGGAAGTAGTGTTTCCTCCTTCTAGGCTCTGGGTTCCTCCTACCTTCTTAGGTACTTTGTTCCCTCAATTTTCATTAACTTGCCTTTTCCTTTCACGTATCCCTTTTGTCTCTTGCTCAACTCAAAGGGAGAAACCCTCCCTTATATCTATGTAGTGTTTTAGCTGTTCTTCTAGTGCCCTATACCTCACTGATGCTCCCTTCATTAGAATCCCTGAGAACCCCCATGTTGCCAAAGCTCTTCTCACCTCATTTCAACTTGGCAATTCTGTGGTATTTAACAGAACTTAACATTTCTACTTCCTAAAACTCTCCCCTCCTATGGCTTCGGTGATGCCAGAACTTCTTGCTTTTTCTTTTACCTCTCTGACCACTCCTGTTTAGCCCAACAGTTAGGGGCATGAGTTCCTAGTGATACACAATCCAAGTTCTTATCCCAGTTCTGTTACTTTCTAGCTATATGACTTTAAGAAAGTTATTTAATCTCCCTGTGCCTAAATGTCTTCATCTTCAAAATACGCTTATAATACTCTCTACTTCAATAAGTGTTACAATTGAGGATCCAATAGCTTAATAAAACTGCACTTGAAACAGAATAAGTACTGTTATAAATATTTTCTGTTGTCATTATTCTTATTGTCATCATCATTACCAGTAGTAATATTAGAGCACCTATCATGATACTGTAATGATTCAATTATTTGCTTATTTTTGTTCCTCCAATTCCTAACCCAGTGCCTAGAAGTGAAATTAGATAAACACATGTTTGCTAAAAGAATTTCTGGTACAGGAATAAACTAGTTAACTTTTTTTTTGCTTCTTAGGAAGGGGTCATTTCCTATGAGCTCCCAATAATGGGATTTTAGGGGCTGTGGGTGCTTACTTGTCAACCGTGTTGAGAGTGAAGGAACTTGATAAGCACTTGTCACTGTTCCCAGCTCAGCGCTCTCTGTTATTCTGGTATCCAAAATGGGTGATGAAGATGTCCTGGCTGGTTGGCTCGAAGTGTCCAAAGTACTGACCATAACGAAGTGTCCTTCAGTAGTGCTGCTCTCTGTCCCAAGACTGGTGTCCACTCTGTGTGGAGTAGCTGAAGAGGAAGTTATCCCATGGAGGGCTGGGATGGTTGAAGAATCAGTGGCAGTGAAGGTTGAAGAGGAGAATGGCACAGGAGTGGATGAAGGCAGGCTCTCTGCAATGGTGGACAGAGTAGCATCCCCAGGGCCTGACTTTGTCCTAGAGAATGGACTACCTGAACCCGAGATGACTCGTGGAACTCCAGTGGTGGCAAATGAAGTCACAGCCTCTGATAGAGAAGGCATCACTGTGCCAGTGGAAATAGTCTCAGCTGAAGGCAGCAAATCTGTACTCAGATGATGAGTACTTTCTGTTACAGACATAGTAAACTTGGATTCTGGGAAGGAGGTTACTCCAGTGGACTCCATAATAGATGGAGAAGCATTAAAGGGGGTGATTATGTCCACTGGAATTTCAGTATACTGTGAGGCTGGAGGCCGGTCTGGGGATGATGTTTTCACAGAAGAGGTGAAATCAGTCTTGGAACTCTGTAAAAGATGAGTAGACCTAGGAGAAGAAGGTGTATTTGTTGGTGTGACTGAGCTGGTGTCCAGGGACGTGTTAGTCTTCCTAAATGCAGAAGTCAAATGAGAAAATGGCTCTGCCTCAGATCTTGTGGTCTCAATATTGGCAGGCGTTGATGTGGAAATAGTGGTTTCGGCCATGGAAGAGGAAGTACCCACTGGGTATGTAGCCTTGGATGGCTCCAAGTGGATTGAAACAGAGGAATATAGTTCATGTCCAGAATTAGTGGTTCCCACATTGGTCACTGCCATGCTTGAAGAAGGGTGAATTTTCTCTGTATCTGTGGTGACTTCAGAGGCAGCCAGTATTTCAACTGAGGTGCTGCTCAGATTTGGAGATAAACTGGTTCCAGGTTCTGTGCTTATGTCTGTAGTCTTCACCATGCCTGGGGTGAGGAGCGAAGTCACAGGAAAAGAAGAGGAAGAGATACCCTGTAGTAATGTGGAAGAAACAGAAGGTGACGTCTTGACAGGTAAGGACAACAGAGAAGAGGAAGAGCTAGTTTTTTCCACAAAGGGAGAGCTCTTCCATGATGGATTTTCAGGACTCCTGCTCATAAGAGTTGTCATCTCTGAGTGTAAAAATCTTGGAGGAACAGTTGAATGGGTCTTTGCCAAGGGTGCTGTTGTTGTGGCCAAGGTAAGGGTACTCTGTGTTGTAGCCCCAGGAGAACTTGTTTGGGTGGTGATGGTCATTTCTGTTGATTCTGACATCATGGATGAGGAAGAGAGCCTGGTGATCACTTCAGTGATGATGTCTGGAGACATTGTGGACTGATCAGGGTCAGGGATGTGTGTTCTGTTAGAGGACATGATTTCTGTCACAGAGACCTCAGTAGTAGCACTAGTGGGCACTCCAAAAAGGACTGCACTTGTTTCTGTGATTGAGCTGGTCTCTTCAGAGGTGCTAGTCTCCCTGAATCCAGGAGTCAGTGAGAATGTGGGCTCTGTCGGAATCCTCCTAGTGTCAGAGAAGGCAGGAATTGATGTGAAAACAGTGGTGTCCTCCACAGGGGAGGTGATACCCATTGAAGGTGTGGTCATGGTTGTTTCTGAGTCAGCTAGGACAGAGGAATGAGATTCATGAACAGAACTGGAGGTCCCCACTTTGGTCACCGCTGTGTTTGAGGTAGGATGAATTTTCTCTGTATCTGTGATGATTTCAGAGGTGGCTGGTATTTCAACTGAGGTGCTGCTCAGATTTGGAGATGAACTGGTTTTAGGCTCTGAGCTTGTGTCCAACACTTCCGTAGTCTTCACCAGGCCTGGGAGGATAAGTGAAGTCACAGGAAGAGGAGAGGAGGGGCTACTCTCTAGTAATGTGGAGGACACAGGAGAAAGTGAGGTCGCGAGAGGTAATGATGTCAGAGAAGAGGAAGATCTAGTTGTTTCCACAAAGCGAGGGCTCGTCCATGACAGATTTTCAGGACCCCTGCTAATAAGATTGGTCATCTCTGAGTGTGAAAGTCCTTGAGACACAGTTGAGTGGGTCCCTGACAAAAAGGTCGTTGAGGTGCCCAAGGGAAGGGTAACCTGGGATGTAGCCAGAGAAGAACCTGTTTGGGTGGTGATGGTTATTTCTGCAGATTCTGTCATGATGGGGGAGGTAGAGAGCCTGGTGACAACTTCATCGGAGATGTCTGGTGACATTGTGGACTGAGCAGGGCCAGGAATGGATGTTCTGCTAGAGGACATAACTTCTGTCCTGGAGACCTCAGGAGTGGCATCAGAGGGCATCTTGTAAAGGACAGTGCTTGTCTCTGTGGATGAGATGATGTCCTGGGAGGTTCTGGTCTCCCTCAGTCCAGGGGTCAGAGATGACATTGACTCTATCTCAATCCTTGTAAGGCCAGAGGAGACAGGCATTGTTGTGGAAACAATATTGTCTCTTATAGAGGAAGAGGTGACCATTGGAGATGTCACTTTGGTTGGCTCTGAGAAGCCTCGGGAGGAGGAATAGAGTTCCTCTCTAGCACTGGTGGTTTCCACATGGGACGCTGCTGTGTTTTCAAAAACCTGAATTGCCTTTGTCTCCACAGTGGCTTTAGAAGTGGCCAGACTCCCATCTGAGGTGATATTCAAACTGGGAGGTGAAGTGGTCTCAGGTTCTAAGCTTGCATCCAACATGTCTGTGGTCTTCATCATGACAGAGGTGAAAAGAGAAGTGACAGGGACAGGAGAGGAGTGGCTACTCCCAGACGGCGTGGAATAAAGCGGCGAAGGTGAGGCTACTGTAGATAAAGACACCAGGGAAGATGGAGAGCTGTTTTTTTCCACAGATGGGAGGCTTGGCCATGACATGTCCTCAGGACCTCTGCTCATAGGAGTTGTCACCACTGACTGTGGAAATCTCTGAGTTGCAGCTGAGTGAGTTCCTGGCCAGGAGGCTGTGCTTGATGTGCCCAAGGTAAAGGTACCCTGTGAGGTAGCCCCAGAAGGACCTGTTTTGGGGGTGATGGCCATTTCTGTTGATTCTTTCCTGGTGAGGGGAGTAGAAATTCTAGTGATGGTTTCCGTGGAGGTGTCTGGTGACATTGTGGATTGAGCAGGGCCTGGGATGGATGTTCTGCTAGAGGAGATGGCTTCTGTCCTGGAGACCTCAGGAGTAGCACCAGTGGGCACACTAGAAAGGACAGTGTTTGTTTCTGTGGCAGAGGTGGTCTCTTCAGAGGTGCTGGTCTCCAGCAACCCAGGAGTCAGTGAAAGCGTTGGCTTTGTCCGAATGCTACTGGTGTCAGAGAAGTCAGGAGTTGATGTGAGAACATTTGTATCTCCTGTAGGGTAGGTGATACCTACTGAAGATGTGACTTTTGTTGTCACTGAGTCAGCTAAGGCAGAGGAAGGAGATTCATGTGTATAACCTGAGGTTACCACATTGGTCACCTCCAATTTCTCTGTATCTGTGGTGACTTCAGTGGTGGCCAGTATTTCAGCTGAGGTGCTGCTCAGATTTGGGGGTGAACTGGTTTCAGGTTCTGAGCTTGTGCCCAGCAGCTCTGTGGTCTTCACCAGGCCCGAGGTGAGAAGTGATGTCACAGGAAGAGAAGAGGAATGGATGCTGTCTGGTAATGTGGAAGAAACAGGAGAAAGTGAGGTCATAGCAGGTGAAGACAGCAAAGAAGAGGCAGAGCTGATTTCTTCCACAGAGGGATGGCTTGGCCATGGCACATCTCCAGGAGTTCTACTCATAAGAGTGGTCATCTCTGAGTGTGAAAATCCTTGAGATGCAGTTGAGTGGGTCCCTGACATAAAAGTTGTTGTTGAGGTGTCCAAGGTAAGCGTACCCTGTGATGTAGCCCCAGGAGAACCCGTTTGGGCAGTAATGGTCATTTCTGTAGATTCTGTCTTGATGGGGGAGGTAGAGAGCCTGGTGATCACTTCCGTGGAGATGTCTGGTGACATTGTGGACTGATCAGGGCTAGGTCTTCTGCTAGAGGACGTGACTTGTGTCCGGGAGTACTCAATCGTGGCACTAGTGAGTGCCTTGTAAGGAGCAGTGCTTGGCTCTGTGGCTGAGTGGATCTCCTGGGAGGTCCTGGTCTCCCTTGGTGTGGGGGTCAGGGTGGATGTTGACTCCATCTCAGTTCTTGTTATCTCAGAGGAAGCAGGTATGGTTGTAGAAACAATGTCTTTTATCGTGGAAGAGGTGACCATTGGAGATGTCACTTTGGATGGCTCTGGGAAGCCTGGGTAAGAGGAATAGGATTCTTGTCTAGCTCTGGTGGTGCCCACCTGGGTCACAGCTGTGTTTTCAGAAACGTGAATTGCCTCTGTGTCAATAGTGGCTTTAGAAGTGGCCAGACTCTCATCTGAGGTGATATTCATAGTGGGAGGTGAAGTGGTCACAGGTTCCAAGCTTGTGTCCAACATGTCGGCGGTCTTCATCACGACAGGGGTGAAAAGAGAAGTCACCCGGAGAGGAGAGGAGTGGCTACTCCCAGATGTTGTGGAATAAAGCAGCGAAGGTGAAGTTACTGCAGATAAAGACACCAGGGAAGATGGGGGGCTAGTTTTTTCCACTGATGGGGGGCTTGGCCCTGACACATCCTCAGGACCTCTGCTCATAGGAGTGGTCATCACTGAGTGTGGAGATCTGTGAGTTGCAGCTGAGTGAGTTCCTGGCCAGGAGGCTCTGCTTGATGTGTTCAAGGTAAAGGTACCTTGTGAGGATGCCCCAGAATGACCTGTTTTGGGGGGGATGGTCATTTCTGCTGATTCTGTCGTGGTGAGGGGAGTAGAAATTCTAGTGATGGTTTCCGCGGAGATGTCTGGTGACATTGCGGATTGAGCAGGACCTGGGGTGGATGTTCTGCTTGAGGAGATGGCTTCTGTTCTGGAGACCTCAGTAGTAGCACCAGTGGGCATTCCAGAAAGAGAAGCACTTCTTTCTGTTGTTGAGCTGATCTCTTGAGAGGTACTGATCTCCCTTAATTCAGAGGTCAGGGAGGAAGTTGGCTTTGTCATCATAGTTTCTGGGAAGGCAGGAGTTGATGTGGAAACACTGGTATTCCCCAGAGTGGAGGTGGTAGCCATTGGAGATGTGGCTTTTGTTGTCACTAAGTCAGCCAAAACAGAGGAAGGGGATAGATGTTTATAAACCAAAGTCCCTACATTGATCACCGGTGTGTTTGAGGAGAGATGAATTTTCTCTGTATCTTTGGTGACTTCAGAGGTGTCTAATATTTCATCTGAGGTGCTGCTCAAATTTGGAGGTGGACTGGTTTCAGGTTCCGAGCTTGTGCCCAACATGTCTGTGGTCTTCACTGGGCCAGGGGTGAGAAGTACAGTCATAGGATGAGGAGAGGAGGGGATGCTCTCTGGTAATGTAGAGGAAAAAGAAGGCGAGGTCATGGCAGGTGAAGACAGTGGGGAAGACACAGAGCTGGCTTCTTCCATAGAGGGATGGCTTGGCCATGACACATCTCCAGGAGTTCTACTCATAAGAGTGGTCATCTCTGAGTGTGAAAATCCTGGAGATGCAGTTGAGTGGGTCCCTGACCAAAAGGTTGTTGTTGAGGTGTCCAAGGTGAGGGTACCCTGTGATGTAGCCCCAGGAGAACCTGTCTCAATAGTGATGGCACTTTCTGCTGATTCTGTCATAATGGGGGAGGTAGAAAGCCTGGTGATCGCTTCAGTGGAGATGTCTGGAGACATGGTGGACTGATCAGGCCCTGACATGGATGTCCCCCTAGAGGAGATCACTTCTGTCCTGGAGACCTCAGTAGTAGCACCACTGGGCACTTCAGAAAGGACAGTGCTTCTCTCCGTGGTTGAGATGATCCTCTCAGAGCTGCTGGTCTCCCTCAATCCAGAAGTCAGGGAGGATGTTGGTTCTATCTGAATTCTGCTGGTCTCAAAGAAGTCAGAAGTGGATATGGAAACACTCGTTTTCCCCATGGTGTAGGTGGTACCCATTGAAGATGTGGCTTTGGGTATCTCTGTGTCAGCTAGGACAGAAGATTGTGATTCATGTCCAGAACTGGAGGTCCCTATGTTGGTCACTGCTGTGTGTGTGGAAGGTTGCATGGCTTCTGTATCTACAGTGTCTTCCAAAGTGGACAGTCTCTCATAGGAGGTGCTGCTCAAATTTGAAGTGGAGCTGGTTTCAGGTTCTCTGCTTATGCCCAGCCTGTCTGTGGTTATCACCAGGCCAGGGGTGAGAAAAGAAGTCACAGGAAGAGAAGTAGGGAGTCTGGTGATGGTTTCTGTGGAGGTCTCTGGTGACACTGTGAGCTGAGCAAGGCCTGAGACAGATGTTCTGCTAGAGGAGGTGACTTCTGTCCTGGAGACTTCAGCAGTGGCATCAGCAGGCACTCCAGAAAGGACAGTGCTCATCTCTGTGGCTGAGCTGGTCCCCCCAGGGCTGCTGGTCTTTCTCACTCCAAGGGTCAGGGAGGATGTTGGTTCTGTCCGAATTTTGCTAGTCTGAAAAAAGCCAAGAGTTGATGTGGAGACACTTGTATCCTCCATGGTGGAGGTAATAACCATTGGAGACGTGACGTTGAATGTCTTTGAGTAAGCTAGGACAGAGGAAGGGGATTCATGTCCAGAACTGGAGGTACCCACATCGGTCACTGCTCTGTTTGAAGAAGGATGAATTTTCTCCGTATCTGTGGTGACTTCAGAGGTGGCCAGTATTTCAACTGAGATGCTGCTTAAATTTGCAGGTGAGTTGGTTACAGGTTCCGAGCTTTTGTGCAACGTATCTGTAGTTTTTGCCAGGCCAGATGTAAGGAGTGATGTCACAGGAAGAGGAGAGGAAGAGATGCTGTCTGTTAATGTGGAGGAAACAGGAGAAGGTGAAGTTGTGGCTGGTGAAGACATCAGAGAAGAAGAGCTAGTTTTTTCCAGAAGGGGAGGGCTCATCCATGATACATCCTCAGGACCCCTCTTCCTAAGAGTGCTCATCTGTGAGTGTGAAAATCCTTGAGATAGAGTTGAGTGTGTCATTGTCAAAGAGGTTATGCTTGAAGTGTCCAAAGTACTGGTGCCTTGTGTTGTGGCCCCTAAAGGACTTGTGTGGGTGTTCATGGTTATTTCTGTTACTTCTGTCATGACAGGGGATGTAGAGAACCAACTGATGGTTCCTGTGGAGATGTCTGGTGATATTGTGGATGGAGTGGGACCTGGGATGGAGGTGATGTCTTCCTTGGAGATCTCAGTAGTAGCACCAGTGGACACTTTAGAAAGGATGATGCTCATCTTGGTGCCTGAGCTGGTCCCTTCAGAGCCACTGGACTCCCTCAATCCAGGGGTTGGGGAGGAAGTTGGCTCTGTCTGAATCCTTCTAGTCTCAAGGATGGCAGGAGTTGATGTGAGAACACTTGTATCCCCCATGGTGGAGGTGGTACCCATTGGAGATGAGGCTTTGGATGTCTCTGAGTCAGCTAGGACAGAGGATTGTGATTTATATCCAGAGCTGGTGGTCGCCACATTGGTCCCTCCTGTGTTTGTGGAAGGATGCACAGCTTCTGTATGTGCAGTGTCTTTGTAAGTGGTCAGTCTCTCACGGGAGGTGCTGCTCAAACTTGAAGATGAACTGGTTCCAGGTTCTGTGCTTTTACCCAAGTTATCTGTGGTCATCACCAGGCCAGAGGTGAGAAGCGAAGTCACAGGAAGGGGAGAGTGGGGGATATGTGCTGGGAATGTGGTGGAAACAGGATGAGGTGAGGTCACAGCAGGTAAAGACAGTGGGGAAGATGGAGGGCTGGTTTCTTTCACAACGGGAGGGCTAGGCCATGACACACCTCCAGGACCTCTGCCCATGGAAGTGGTCATCTCTGGGTGTGGAAATCCCTGAGTTACTGTAGAGTGGGTTTCTTCCCAAGAGGATGTGGTTGCTGTGTCCGAATTAAGGATACTTTCTGGTGTAGACCCCGGAGGACCTGTTTGGGTTGTGATGGTCATTTTGGCAGATTCTGTCATGACAGAGGAAGCAGAAATCCTGGTGATGGTTTCTGTGGAGATGTTTTGTGACATTGTGGACTGCTCAGGGCCTGAGATGGATGTTCTGCTAAAGGAGATGGCTTCTGTCCTGGAGACCTCAGTAGTAGCACCAGTGGACACTTCAGAAGGAACAGTGTTTGTCTCTGTGGCTGAGCTGGTCTCTTCAGAGGTGCTGGTCTCCCTCAATCTGGTGGTCAGTGAGGAAGCTGGCTCTGTCTGAATTTTCCTAGTGTCAGATAAGGAAGGAGTTAATGTGGAAGCACTTGTATCCTCCATGATGGAGATGGTACCCATTGGCGATGTGGCTTTGGTTGTCTCTGAGTCAGGTAGGACAGAGGAAGGGGATTCACGTCCAGAACTGGAAGTTCCCACTTTGGTTACTGCTGTGTTTGAGAAAGGATGAATTTTCTCTGTATCTGTGGTGACTTCAGAGGTGGCCAGTATTTCAACAGAGGTGCTGCTCAAACTTGGAGGTGAACTGGTTTCAGGTTCTGCGCTTGTGTCCAACACCTCTGTAGTCTTCACTTGGCCTGGCATGAGAAGCGAAGTCACAGAAGCAGAAGAGGAGTGGCTACTTGCTGGTAATGTGGAAGAAACAGAAGAAGGTGAGATCATGGAAGGTAAAGATAGCTGCAAAGATGGAGGGTTGGTTTCTTCTACAGAACCTCTACTCACAAGAGTGGTTATCTCTGAGCGTGGCAGTCTCTGAGTCATAGTCGAGTGGGTTATTACCAAGGAGGGTGTGGTTGATGTGTCTAATGTAAGGGTATTCCCTGGTGTCGATCCAGGAGGATTTGTTTGGGTCTTGATGGTCATTTCTGATGATTCTGCCATGATAGGGGAGGTAGGGAACTTAATGACTGTTCTTGTGGTGGATATTTCTGGCAACATTGTGGACTCAGCAGGACCAGAGGTGGATGTTCTGCTAGAGGAGGTGACTTCTGTCCTGGAGACCTCAGTAGTAGCACCAGTGGGCACTTCAGAAAGGACAGCACTTGTCTCCATGGCTGAGCTGGTCTCCACAGAACTGCTAGTCTCCCTCAATTTAGGGATCAGGGAGGAAATGGACTCTTTCTGAATTCTGCTAGTCTCCAAGAAGTCAGGGGTTGATATGATAACAGTTGTGTCCTCCTGTGTGGAGGTAATAAACATTGGTGATGTGGTTTTGGATGTCTCTGAGTCAGCTAAGGTAGAGGAAGGGGATTCATGTCCAGAGCTGCAAGCCTCCACATTGGAAACTGCTGTGTTTGTGGAAGGATGCACAGCTTCTGTATCTGTAGTGTCCTTGCCAGTGGTCAGTCTCTCACCTGAAGTGTGGCTCAGCTTTGGAGGTGAACTGGTTACAAGTTCTGGGCTTGTGCGTAACATGTCTGTGGTTGTCACCGGGCCAGAGGTGAGAAGTGAAGTCACAGGAAGAGGAGAGGGGGAGATACTCACTGGTAATGTGGAGGAAACGGGATGAGGTGAGATTGTGGCAGGTAAAGACAGCAGGGAAGGGAGAGAGCTGGGTTTTTCCACAGAGGTAGAGCTTTGCCATGACATATCTCCAGGACCTCTGCTCATGAGAGTGGTCTGCTCTGGGTGTGGAAATCTCTGAGTCAAAGTTGAATGAGTCTTTGCCTGGGACTTTGTGGTGGATGTGTCCAAGGTAAGGGTATCCTGTGATGTAGACCCAGAAGGACCTGTTTGGGTGGGGATGGTCATTTCTGCTGATTCTGTCATGGTAGGCGAGGCAAAGAGCCTTGTCATTGTTCTGGTGGATATTTCTGGCAACATTGTGGACTGAGAAGGGCCAGGGATGGATATTCTACCAGAGGAGGTGACTTCTGTCCTGGAGACCTCAGCAGCAGTACCAGTGGGGACTTCTGAAAGAACAATACTTGTGTCAGTGGAAAAGTTGGCATTTTGGGAGATGCTGGTCTCCCTCAGTCCAGGAGTCAAGGAATATGTTGACTGGCTCTTAATTTTTGTAGTCTCAGAGGAAACAGACATTGATGTGGAAACAGTTGTATGCCCCATGGTGGAGGTGGTATCCATTGGGGCTGTAGCCTTGGTTCTTCCTGAGTCAGCTAGGACAGAGGATTGTGACCCATGTCCAGAGCTGGTGGTTTCCACATTAGTCACTGCTGTGCTTGTGAAAGGATGCATGGCTTCTATAGCTGCGGTGTCTTCGTCTGTCGTCAGTATCTCATGTGAGGTACTGCTCAAATTTGGAGGTGAACTGGTTGTAGCTTCTGAGCTTGTGCCTAACATGTCTGTGGTCATCACTAGACTAGAGGTGAGTAGTGAGATCACAGGAGGAGTGGCGTGAATGGTCTTTGGTAATGTTGAGGAACCGGGAGAAGGTGAGGTCATGGCTGCTGAAGGCATCAGGGAAGAGGAGAAGCTGGTTTTCTCTATAGAATGAGGGATTGTCTGTGATAGAATCTCAGGGTCCTTGTTCATGAGAGTGGTCATTTCTGAGTGTGGAAATTCCTGAGTCACCACCGAGTGTGTTCCTGCCCTGGAGGATGTAGTTGGTGTGTCCAAGGTAAATGTACCCTGTGATGTAGATCCAAGAGGAGGGCCTGTTTGAGTGATGATGGTCACACTTGCAGATTCTGTAATGCCAGGGGAAATAGGCAGCCTGGGGATCACTTCAGTGGAGATGTCTGGTGACTTTGTGGAATGATCAGGGCCCGGAATGGATGTTTTTCTAGAAGAGGCAACTTCTGTCCTAGAGGTCTCAGGAGTAGCACCAGTGGTCACCTTGTGAAGGACAGCACTTTTCTCTGTGGATACGATGGGCTCCTGGGAGGTGCTGGTTTCCTTCAGCTTATGAGCCAGGGAGGATGTTGACTCCATCTCAATCCTTGTAATCTCAGAGGAGCCAGGCATGGATGTGGAAACAATGGTGTCCCTTATGGTGAAAGAGGTAACCACTGGAGAGGTGACTTTGGGTGGTTCTGAGTAGGCTGGGACAGATGAATAAGATTCCTTTTCAGAAATGGTGGTCCCCATATCGGTTACTGCTATGTTTGTGGAAAGATACATTTTCTCTGTATCTTTAATGTCTTCAGAAGTAGACGGTATCTTTTGTGAGGGGCTGCCCAAATTTGGAGGTAAAGTAGTCACAGATGCCAGCATATCTGTGGTCTTCACCAGGCCAGAAGTGGGGAGTGAAGTCAGATGAACAGAAGAATAGGGCCTACCTTCTAGTAATGTAGTAGGTACAGGGGGCAGTGAGGTTATTGCTGGTAAAGATAGAAGGGAAGAGGGAGAACTAGTTTTTTCCGCAGAGGGTGAGCTTGTCCCTGACACGTCCTCAGGAGCTCTACTTATAAGAGTGGACACATCTAATTGTGAAAATCCATGAGTCATAGCTGAGTGGGTCTCTGCCTGTGAGGTTGTGATTGACGTGTCCCAGGTAAGGGTACCCTGTGAGGTAGCCCTATGAGGACCTGTCTGAGTGGCGATGGTCATTTCTTCAGATTTTGTCATGCCAGCAAAGGTAGAGGACATGGTGACAGATCCTGTGGAGGTGTCTGGTGACACTGTGGGCTTTTCAGTGCCTTGGATGGATGTCCTGCTAGAGGAAATGAGTTCTGCTCTGGAGACCTCAGTAGTAGCAGCAGTGAGTGCTTTGTCAAAGACAGCGCTTGTGTCTGAGGATGAGCCGATTTTCTGGGAGGTGCTGATCTCCCTCAGTCCAAAGGTCAGGGAGGAAGTTGTCTCAGACTCAATCTTTGTCATCTCTGAGGATCTGGGCATTGACATGGAAACTATTGAGTTCCCCATGGTGGAAGTGATAACTACTGGAGATGTGGTTTTATATGGCTCTGAGTCAGGTGAGACAGTAAAATAGAATTCGTGTGGTGAACTGATGGTCCCCACATTGGTCACTGCTGTGTTTATAGAAGGATGTATTGTGTGTGTATCTGTGGTGGCTTCTGAAGTGGCCGAGGTGTTGCTTAAACTTTGAGATGAACGAGTCACAGGTTCTAAGCTTGTGTCCATGTCTGTTATCTTCACTGGTGCAGGGGTGAGTACTGAGGTCACAGAAGCAAGAGAGGAGGTACTGTGCACTCGCAATGTGGAAGTTACAGGAGAAGGTGAGGTTGTCACAAGGAGAGGTGCCTGAGAAGAGAGAGAGTTGGCTTCTTCTACAGAGAAAGGGCTTGTCTTCGACACATCACTGAGATCATTGTTCATGACTGTGGTTGTTTCTGAGTCTACAAAATCCTGAGTTCTGGCTGATGGGGTTCCTGCTGGATTGGCTATGGTTGATGTGTCCAAGGTCAGTTGGCCAAGAGATGTCACCCCAGGAGGATCTGTTTGTGTGGTGATGGTCTTGTGTGTAGATATTGTCAAGGGAGGTGAGTTAGAATGTCTGCTGCTGGCTTCAGGTGAAATGTCTGGGGACTTTGTTGACTGAGCAGAAGCTGGCATGAATGTAGGATCATAGTAGGGGATTTCTGCCCTGGAGACCTCAGTAGCAGCACCCATGGACACACTGGAGAAAACAATGTTTGACTCTGTAGTTGAGTTCATCACCAGGGCGGTGCTGTTCTCTGTCAGTTCAGGAGTCAGGAGGGATGTTGACTCTCTGTCAATATTTATAGTCTCAGGAGAACTAGGTGTTGATGTGGAAACAATAGCGTCCTTCATCATAGACCCAGTAACATTTGGAGGTGTGTGTCTGGATGGCTGGGAGTGGATTGAGACAGAGGAATGTAGTTCATGCATAGAATTGGTGGTCCTCATATTGGTTTCTGCTGTGTTCTCTGAAAAGTGAATTGTCTTTGTATTTGTGGAGGCTTCAGAAGTAGGCATCTCACCTGAGAAGCTACTTGCACTTGGTAAGGAGCTGGTCACAGGCTCTGAGAGTGCGTCCAACATGTCCGTGGTCTTCCTCCTGCCAGAGGTGAGAAGGGAAGTCACAGGGAGAGGAGAAGTGGGGCTACTTCCCGATAATGTGGAAAAAAGAGGTGAATGTGAGGTTATTGCAGTTAAAGGCACCAGGGAAGAAGAACTGGTTTCTTCCACAGAGGGAGAGCTTTGCCATGACACGCCTTTAGTACCTCTGCTCCTAGTAGTGGTATCCTCTGAGTGTGGAAATCTCTGAGTCACAGGTGAGTGCGTCCCTTCCCAGGAAGCTGTAGTTGATGTGTCCAGGGTAAGGGTAGCCAGTGAGGTAGTCCCTATAGGACCTGTTTGGTTGGTGATGGTCATTTCTGTGGATCCTGTTACAACAGGAGAAGTGGAGAGCCTGGTGATGGTTTCTGTGGAGATGTAGGGTGACATTTTGGAATGATCAAGCCCTGAGATGGATGTTCTGCTAGAGGTGATAACTTCTGTCCTGGAGACCTCAGTAGTAGTAGCAGGGGGCATTTCTGAAAGGACAGTGCTTGTCTCTGTCACAGTGTTGATCTCCTCAGACGTGCTGGTGTCCTTTAATCCAGGAGTCAAAGAGGATGCTGATTCAGTCTGAATTCTAGTCTCAAAGAAGGTAGGAGTTGATGCAGAAACACTTGTATCCCCCATGGTGGAGGTGGTACCCATTGGAGATGTGGCTTTGGATGTGTTTGAGTCAGCTAGGACAGAAGGTTGTGATTCATGTCCAGAAATGGAGGTCCCCACGTAGGCCACTGTGGTGTTTGTGGAAGGATGCATGACTTCTGTGTGTGCAGTGTCTTTGTAAGTGATCAGTCTCTCATGTGTGGTGCTGCTTAAATTTGGAGGTGAACTGGTTACAGGCTCTGAGCTTGTCGTGCCCAACACATCTGTGGTTGTCACCAGAACAGAAGTAAGAAGTGCTGTCACAGGAAGAGGAGAGGAGGGGATGCTCTCTGATAATGTGGAGGAAACAGGAGAAGGGGATGTCATGGCAGGTGAAGACATCAAGGAGGACTCAGAGCTGGTTTCTTCTACAGAGGGAGTTGTCATCCATGACACATCTCCAGGAGTTCTGCTCCTAAGAGTGGCTATCTCTGAGTGTGGGAATCCCTGAGACACAGTTGAATAAGTCCCTCGCTGGAAGAGTGTGGTTGATGTGTCCAAGGGAAGGGTATCCTGTGATGTAGCCCCAGGAGTAGTTGTTTTAGTGGTGATGCTCATTTCTGCAGATTTTGTCATGATGGGGGAGGTGAAAAGCCTGGTTATCACTCCTGTGGAGATGTCGGGTACTACTGTGGACCGATCAAGGTCTGAGATGGATGTTCTTCTAGAGGAGATTTCTGTTCTGGAGCTCTGAGTGATAGCACCCGTGAGCACATAAGAAAAGGCGGTATTTGTCTCTGTCATTGAGCTGGTCTCCTCAGACGTGCTGCTCTCCCTCAGTCTAGGGCTCAGGGATGCTGTTGGCTCTGTTTGAATTTGGCTAGTCTGAGAGATATTAAGAGTTGATGTGGAAACACTTGTGTTCCCCAGGGTGGAGGTGGTACTCATTGGAGATGTGGTTTTTGATGTCTCTGAGTCAGCTAGTACAGAGGATTGTGATTCATGTCCAGACCCAGAGGTCCCTACGTTGGTCACTGCTGTGTTTGTGGAAGGATGCATGGTTTCCATATGTGCAGTGTCTTTGTAAGTGGCTGGTCTCTCATGTGTGGGGCTGCTCAAACTTGGAGGTGAACTGGTTACAGGCTCTGAGCTTATCGTGTCCAACACATCTGTGGTTGTCACCAGAACAGAAGTAAGAAGTGCCGTCACAGGAAGAGGAGAGGAGGGGATGCTCTCTGATAATGTGGAGGAAACAGAAGAAGGGGATGTCATGGCAGGTGAAGACATCAAGGAGGACTCAGAGCTGGTTTCTTCTACAGAGGGAGTTGTCATCCATGACACATCTTCAGGAGTTCTGCTCCTAAGAGTGGCTATCTCTAAGTGTGGGAATCCTTGAGACATAGTTGAATGAGTCCCTCCCTGGAAGAGTGTGGTTGATGTGTCCAAGGGAACAGTACCATGTGATGGAGCCCTAGGAGTAGTTGTTTGAGTGGTGATGGTCATTTCTGCAGATTTTGTCATGATAGGGGAGGTGAACAGCCTGGGGATCATTCCTGTGGAGATGCTGGGTGTCATTGTGGACTGATCAAGGTCTGAGATGGATGTTCTGCTAGAGGAGATGACTTCTGTCCTGGAGACCTGAGCAGTAGCACCCGTAGGCACATAAAAAATGGTACTATTTGTCTCTGTCACTGAGCTGATCTTCTCAGACGTGCTGCTCTCCCTCGGTCTAGGGGTCAGGGATGCCATTGACTCTGTTTGAATTTGGCTAGTTTGAGAGATATCAGGAGTCGATATGGAAACACTTGTGTCTCCCATGGTGGAAGTGGTACTCATCAGAGGTGTGTCTTTCGATGTCTCTGAGTCAACTAAGGCAGAGGATTGTGATTCATGTCCAGACCCGGAAGTCCCTACATTGGTCACTGCAGTGTTTGTGGAAGGATGTGTGGCAGCTTCTGTGTGTGCAGTGTCTTTGTAAGTGGTCAGTCTCTCATGAGTGCTGCTGCTCAAATTTGGAGGTGAACTGGTTACAGATTCTGGGCTTGTAGTGCCCAATCCATTTGTGGTTGTCACCAGAACAGAAGTAGGAAGTGCAGTTACAGGAAGAGAAGAGGAGGGGATGCTCTCTGGTGATGTGGAGGAAACAGGAGAAGGGGATATCATGGCAGGTGAAGATATCGGGGAAGACACAAAGCTGGTTTTTTCCATAGGGGGAGTTGTCATCCATGACACATTCTCAGGACCCATGCTCATGAGAGTGGTCACCTCTGAGTGTGGGAATCCCTGAGTCACAGTTGAATGAGTCCCTCCCTGGGAAAGTGTGGTTAATGTGTCCAAGGGAAGGGTACCATGTGATGCAGACCCAGGAGGACTTGCTGGGGTGGTGATCGTCATCTCTGCAGATTTTGTCTTAATAGAGGAGGTGAAGACCCTGGAGATCTCTCCTGTGAAGGTGTCAGGTGGCATTGTAGACTTATCATGGTCTGGGGTGGAAATTTTGCTAGAAGAGATGACCTCTGTACTGGAGACCTCAGTAATAGTAGCAGTGGGAACTTTGGAAAGTAGAAAACTCATGTCTGTGGAAAAGCTGGACTTCTGAGAGGTACTGGTCTCCCTCAGTCTAGGAGTCAAGAAGTATGTTGGCTCTCTCTTCATGTTTGTAAGCTCTTTGTAAGGAATGGTGCTTGTCTCCATGGACGAGGTGATCTCCTGGGAGATGCTGGTCTCCCTCAGTTTAGGAGTCAGGGAGGAAGTTGTCTCAGTCTCAATTCTTGTAGTCTTAGAGGATCTAGGAATTGATCTGGAAATTGTGGTGTCTTCCATAGTGGAGGTGGTGACATTTGGAGATGTGACTTTAGATGGCTCTGGGTCAGCTGAGACAGTAGAATGTGATTCAAATGCTGAACTAGGGGTCCCCACATTGGTCACTGCTGTGTTCAGGGAAGAGTGTGTTGTCTCTATATCTGTGGTGGCTGGTGAAGTGGCCAATATGTCATCCAAAGTGTTGCTCATACTTTGAGGTGAACTGGTCACCGTTTCTAAGCTTGTGTCCACCTTGCCTGTGATCTTTACCAGTGAAGAAGTAGGAACTGAGGACATAGAAACAGGAGAGGAGGTACCATGCCATTGCAATGTGAAAGAAACAGGAGAAGGTAAGGTTGTGATAAGGACAGGTGCCTGAGAAGAGGGAGAGCTGGCTTCCTCCTCAAAGAGAGGGCTTGTCTGTGATACATCCTTGGCATCATTGTTCATGGCAGTGGTTATTTTTGAGGGGGAAAACCCCTCAGTCACCACTGATGGAGTCCCTGCTGAGGTTTCCAACGTTGATGTGTCTAAGGGAAGTGGAATCTTTGATGTAGCTCCAGAAGACCCTGTCTGGGTGGTGGTCATGTGGGTAGATATTGTCATGAGAGGAGAGTTTGAAAGTCTACTGCCGGATACTGAGAAAATATCTTGGAACTTTGTTGACTGAGCAGGAGTTGGTATGAATGTTGCATCAAAAGAGGGGACTTCCACTTTGGAGGCTTCAGTAGCAGTCCCCACAGACACATTGGAGAGGATGATGTTTGACTCTGTAGTTGAGTTCATCTCCTGGAGGGTGCTGTTCTCTTTTTGTTCAGCAGTCAGGGAGGATGTTAGCTCTCCCTCAGTGTCTGTGGTCTCAGAACGAGGTGTTGATGTAGAAGCAAGAGCATCCCCCATAGCAGAGGCAGGAACCATTGGAGATGTGGCTGTGGATGATTCTGAGCTGACTGGGAGAGTGGAATGCAGTTCATGTGCTGAACTGGTGGTCCCCATATTGGTCACTGCTTTGTTTATGGAAGGATGAATTGTCTCTATGTCTGTGGTGGCTTCCAAAGTGGCCAGCATCTCATTTGATGTGTTGTTCAAACTTTGAGGTGAATTGGTCACAGGTTTCATGCTTGTGTTCAATGTATCTGTGGTCTTCACCAGTCCAGAGGTGAGAACTGAAGTCACAGAAACAGGAGAGGATGTACTTCGCCCTCGTAATGTGTAAGTGGCAGAAGGTGAGGCTGTGACCAAGATAGGTGTCAGGGAAGCGGGAGAGCTGGTTTCTGCCACAGAGGGAGGGCTTGTCCATGACACATCCTTGGGACCTTTGCTCATGAGAGTGGTCTTCTCTGATTGCATAAAATCTGGAGTCAAAGTCAATGGAGTCTCTGTCAAGTAAGGCATGCTTGATGTGTCCAAGAGATATGGACCCTGTGTTGTAGCTCCAGTAGGACCTGTCTGGGTGGTGATGGTCACTCCTGAAGATTCTGCCATTATCAGAGAGGTAGAAGGGTTGGTGCTCACATTTGTAAATGCATTGGTAGAAGTTTTGAAGTGATGGGGGCTTGGAATGGATGTTCTGCTAGAGAAAGTGGCTTGTGTCTTGGTGACATGAGTAGTAGCATCACCACTAGACGCATGGGTAATGACAGTGCTTGTCTCTGTAGCAGAGCTGGCCACCTGGGATGTGCTTCTCTCCTGAAGTCCTGGGTTCACAGAGGACACTGTCTCAATCTTTGTGGTCTCGGAGGAGCCAAACACTGATGTGGAAGCAGTGATGTCCCCCATGATGTGGGAGGTAACCAATGGAGATGTGGCTTTGGATGGCTTTGTATGGACTGGGACAGGAGAATGTTCAGAACTAGTTGCCTCCATAGTCGTCACTGCTGTGTTTGCAGAATGATGAATTGCCTTTGTATCTCTGGAAGCTTCATAAGTGGATAACACCTCACCTGCTGTACTGCTCAAATTGGGAAGTAGACTGGTGCCAGGTTCCAAGCTTATCCTTGACATGTCTGTGGTCTTCCCCAGGCCAGAGGTCTCAGACCAGAAAACTGAGGTCACAGGTGGAGTAGAGGAGGGACTGTGCCCTTGTGATGTCAACAAAATATTGGAAGGTGAGGTTGTGGCATGAATAGGTACTAGGGAAGAGGAAGAGCTAGTTTCTTCTACAGAGGGAGGGCTTGGTTGTGATGTATCCTCAGGACCTTTGCTAAAGAGAGTGGTCTTCTCTGAGTATGTAAATCTCTGAGTCATAGCCAGTGGAGTCCCTGTCCAGGAGGCTGTGGCTGATGTATCCAAAGTAGGTGCACTTAGTGATGTAGCGCCAGGTGGACTTGTTTGCATAGTGAGGGTCATTCCTCCAGATTCTGTCGTGGCAGGGAAGTTAGACAGCCTGGTGATGGTTTCTGAGGGGCTGTCTGATGACCTCACAGACTGGGCAAGGAATGAGCTGGATATTCTCTTAGAGGAGGTAATTTCTGTTCTAGGCCCCTTGGTGATCGCAGTGGAACCTGGGGAAGAGATAATACTTGTTTGTGTGGTTGAGCTGGGGTCCATGTAAGGGCTGAAATCCTTCAGTTCAGTAGTCAAGGAGGAATTAGGCTCTGTTCCAGTCCTTGTAGACTCTGGCCTTGTGGTTGCTGATGCAGAAACTATTGCTTGGTCCCTGGTGGAGGCAGTAACCACTGGAGATGTGAGTTTGGATGACTCTGAATGAGCTGGGACAGTAGAAGGAGAAGCATGTTCGGAACTTGTGACCCATGCTCTTGTCTCTACTGTGTTTGTAGAAGGGTGAATTGCCTCTTTGTCTGTGGTGGACTCAGAAGGGGCAATTCTCTTATACGGGCTGCTTTTCCAACTTGGGGATGAAGTCATCGCAGATTCCAAGCTTATGTCCAGTGTATTCAGGCTCCTTAATACACTGGAGGAGCTGGTAACCTCCTTGATGGTCTCTTGTGAGACAGAATTCATCATCTCAGTGATCCAAGGTGCACTTGAGGTTGATTTTTCTTTCTCATTCCAGGAGTCAGATGTAGCTCTTGCCTCTGTTGTAAGAGCCCTCTGCCCTTGTCTCTGAAGAGTTGGATCTGGAGTTTGTGCTGTGTGTGGGATCACATCCAGAGTTGTTGCTGCTGATCTGGGCACCTGCCCTGGATGTGCAGAAATTGTGGTGGGAAGCTGAGTAGAAGTCTGCTCTGCCTTTTTGCTTGTCAGATCTGGTCTTGAAAAAGTAACTCCAGAGCTCCTTACCATTGCAGCTGGTGTGACTACACTTGTAACGTCCCCTATAGAGAAGGGCAGCTGTGAGGTAGCTGAGCTGATGATGGTCTCCAAAATGAGTTCTTGAGGAGTTGTGGCCCCGTGAGGAGCTGAGGTAGTGGCTGTGGCTGATGACACAGATCTCCCAGGGTCCCAGTCAAGAGTGGACCGAGAATCAAACAGAAAAGCAGACGGCGGCATATTTGAGTCAGTCGTTGTACTAGCATGATCTGTAGAAACCATTGAAACAGGCACATCTTCTGTTTCTGTATTACTGGGAGTCCAACTTGTACTTAAAATGTCAGGAACTGAGATGCTCAGCCTCTGGACAGGAGAGATAGTTGAGATGGGAGTAGATGCAGTTGTGTCTGAAGGACTCAATGTTCTTTCACTGGTACTGGTCTCTGTCTTTACAGCTGAAGCATCAGAGGATGGAGTGTCTAGGCTGGTTCCAGTGACAGTTATAAGGCCATAGGGAGTAGACATGGAGTCCAATTCAGTGCTTGGGGCTAAGAATGAAGTTGTATGCATTGTAGAAATTGTTCCAGGAGAACTTGCGACTTTCAAGTTTGAAGCCATGTCTGTGACAGTCCAGGAATCTGATGCAGCTGTGGAGGACCAGGTGGGAGGGTGCTCTGTAGAAGATGTGTGCCTCTCTGTGTCCGGGGTGCTGTCCATGGTACTCACACCCACTTCGGGGCTGGGTGTGGTAGTCACGATTGAGTTGGTTCCCATGGTGGTGATGGTGGTGGAGATACCTGGAGTAGGAGCTGTGGTTGCATTCATGATGCTCACTTCCACAGGGGATGTGACAGATGATGCAGAGCTTCTTTTTTCTCCTGAGGGACTGGTGAGGCTGGTAATGCTTTGGTCTCCAGAGGGCAGAGATGCTAGTGAGGTGGTTTGTGCTGTGGAGGTGATGTATAATGTCTTTGTGACATCAGGAGATGCACCAAGGGTGATGTCACTCCCAGATGTCTGATCTGACCATGAGCTAGTTGATGAATAAGCCTCATCCACAGATTGACTTGTCTGTTCTTCAGCTGCCATTGTCTTGTGATTCAGGATTGTGGAGGGAATGGCTGTGGTGCTGACCCATGTCTCGGTTTTATGTTTGGATTTATTTGTGACTGAGCTCACAGAGTTTGGGCTGGTTACACGGTCTTCAAGGATATTGGGAGATGTGCTCAGAGAGACATGTGTGTCTACTGTGGCCCCTCCAGTAGAGCCATGCCACATAGAGGATTCCATTCCAGTTGTCTTCGAAATCAATTCTGGACTGCTTTGCTGACCAGTCCCTGTCGTGCTTCTAGCAGTTGGTGACTCTAAGGAGACAGAGAGCGTTGTGGCCAGTGACTGCCTGGTCCCTCCTGGAGTTCCAGAATAAAGATTGGTCCAAGCGTCAGGTGGGGATGGGGAGAGGGAGACCCTTTCTGTAGCCATCATATTTTCTGTTGGTGACTTGGTTGGTGATGTGGCTCCTGTGGGCAGGTGAGAGAGGCTGGTGCTGCTACTTCTTAGGGCTGTGGACTGAAGGGTGACTGGTTCCACAGTGGTCTCCATGGGAACAGTTGTTTCTGCAGTCTTCCAAGGAGAAATTCTCACAGTGGACCTGATCTCTGGGCTGATGCTGGGTTTCTTGGAGCTCATGATTTTGAGAGCTGTAGACATTTCTGGGCTTCCTGGGGATGTGCCTGTGATTAGAAAGTATGTCAGTAGAGTATATGCAAGTGGTACAGAAGATGAGGTTTTTTTGTTTGACACTATCATTCATTTCCTCCTGGGATTTCAATTAAAACTATTTCCTCCTTCCCTGGGAAAGAAAATGTTGAGCTTTCAATTCTCACACTTTAAGCCTCTGGACACCAGGGAACACATTAAACATTTCAAGGGAGATGGTGAGGTTAGAGGTTTGACCATCTGGTTTGCTCAGGAGAAATTGTCATCTTTAGCTCAGTTTTTCCCAATGCCCCATATAAAAGGGCTTTCCGTGTAAGGGAGGATGTGATGAACTAGGGCTTCACCCATGCAAGAGGCTACCCCTAAACTATTTCCACTTTTGTCTTTGGAGCTCGCCCTTGCTAAACCAGTTTTAGCTTACAACTTTCAGCCTCCTCTAGGTTCCCCCAAATCTTAGTTCAGTGCAAAGCTACTTAAGGATTTTAGAAGAAAAGAGGATAAGGGAGATGAGCTCATTCTTTCTCTTCACCTTCATTTTCTTTCAAATTCATTCCTTCCTCTGAATCCTTTCCCTGTCCTTCAGGAAAATAACATCTACCTGCTACAGGAGTGAGAAAAATGTGATGTCCCAAGAGCACTCCTAGGGACCCTTTTGCACATTTTTCTAAGCAACTTGGCACTGCGAAGGACTTCAATCCATAATCCCTTCTTCTGTAGTAACAAAGGCAGCGTTTGCCATCTCAAGTTCACCTGTGCCCTTCCTGTGAACACAGTGATGGTCTCTGATTTAGAAAGATCCTTCACTCTGGAGCAGAAGAAAGTACAGAGAGAATCGACTCTGTAGCATTCTCTCCTGCTGAATTAATTGGCTATTGATCATGTAAATTAGTAAGCTGAAGCAACAGAAGTGTTCAGTTAGTAACATCTATGGGGAAAAATGACCAATAGCCTCAGAGAAGAGTGTCAAAAAGTCAAAGGAACCTTTTTTTTTTTCAGATAGAGTCTTGCACTGTCATCCAGGCTGGAGTGCAATGGCATGATCTCGGCTCAGTGCAACCTCTGCCTCCTGGGTTCAAGCGATTCTCCTGTCTCAGCCTCCCGAATAGTTGGGATTACAGGTGTGTGCCACTATACCCAGCTAATTTTTTGTATTTTTAGTAGAGATGGGGTTTCACTATGTTGTCCAGGCTGGTCTCGAACTCCTGACCTCGTGATCTGCCCACCTCGGCCTCCCTAAGTGCTGGGATTACAGGCATAAGCCACCGCACCCAGCCTAGGAACCTATTTTAAAACCTAGTCCTTGCTGGGTGTGGTGGCTCAAGCCTGTAAT